TCTACTGGTAAATTTCTCCTACAGTCGAAGTAGAGATCAATAAATTATTATAAAATTTGGAAAGCGAGAAACTGATTGTTAATATATCAAAGAAATTTCGAATTCAAGTATATCATCTTTGTACACCTAACTTCAGATGGCAACTGGGGAAGAACATGTCTGACAGCACAATCCAAGTACCCAGCTGCCTTCAAGAAAATATCAATCGAGGCTCGCCTGCTTTCTGTTTATTGAGAGAAAAAGGAAGTCCCCTCACATTAGGTCCATGGAAAAAATGGTTAAAGCATAAGTAAGAATGAAAATCTAAGCTGAGAAGAAATGGTCAACAGATTGTCCAGTAATCAACCTTTTACACTTTAAAACAAAATTGTGGCGCAGAAGAATGAAAACAGAAGTCAATAGCATCCAAAAAGAATAATCAGCACTGAATAGTTTCTCTTTCTTCTTACAACCTACCTTCTGATACTTTTGGTTGATAACCATCAGCAGAAGTCCTTGGAAGAAGTAACAAGTTGCATTGTGAAAATGATAACATCGCCATCAAATGCAAAACTGACAGAACCTCATACCAAGCATTAAACATCGCTGTTTCCTGCCAAAAAAAATTGCTTTACATCAAACCTGTATTCCTCAAAGAGTAGAGTGACCAAATAATAAAACAAAAAAAAAGCAAATAAAAGGCATGTTGATAACAATAGCCTAAACCCACAGTCTCACCTCAGCATCCTCCTCCTGATTTACCCAAATAAACTGTGCTTTGTATTGTAGCCGGCTCCCTGAATAATAACAATGAACCATAATGTTAGATTTCGCCTTATACAGCACACAAACTTTTCAAGGGAATGAATTTAATAGTATGTTTACCATCTGTTACTAATCCTAAAAGCACAGGCAAGTAGTCCTCAAGAGCCTGATGAAGATCTGCCAAAGTTGAACCTGCTGCAGACAATATGTTCAACTGAAATATCAGTAAAATGCTTGCTACAAACTTTTATAAGGAAACCAGGTTTGCCTGCAACAAGCCATGCTGTGTAGCAGTTTTCCTCCTTGTCCGTGTATTTGTAGGGGCTTCTTGGCTGGCCATAACAACTATACGAGTTCTCAAGGCAGTAAGGCGTTCCACTAATGTCTTTGACAGGTGACCACCAAGTGATTGAAAGAAGTCTACAGGCTTGGGAATTCGTAAGCCTGGCACATACACAGAAACTTCCCCAATATTTCCCGGCAACCTCCTATTTCCTCCAGAATCCTTTGGAGTTGAAACCAGACATCCCATATCTTAGAGTATCTATATCTGTCAATCCAGGCAAAATTAGTCAAATTCCACAATAAAACCAACTTATTTCCAGCATGAAAGACAGTAATTGCAAAGAGTGGCCAATATAATCTGATAGATCATAGAAGTGAATTGCGTAAGTAAATAAACACAGGTATGTGTTGAAAAAGAAGCTGAAATGTGTATGCAATATCCAAAGCAATATAGGGAGAAAAAACTAATTAAATGTCCAACCTATAAAGCAGAAGTAGTAGGCAACTCACGAGCGCCATAAAAGAACTCTTAACTACATCTCTCCAAAAGATTTTCAACCTTTTTTCCTTAAAAAAAAAAAAGATGCTTTTACGCACCTTGTTGTCCCTTATCAGAAGAAGGAGAAGGCACGGGTCAAAAGTCTAGTAGTTTCTGCATCCAACAAAAGTCCAAAACCTTTTTTCATGTAATGAATAAAAATGAAAGGAAGGCGAATTAGTAAACAGACCAAAAGCAAGTGAATCACAAGATAGCCATGGGAACTAGAAAATTTCATTACCTTTTCAGTAGTTAATAGTGGACGGGCTTCCATTATAACACAATTATAGATGGTTTTGCATGCAAAATTCAGAAGAACAATGTGTGAAGAATTATGAATTCGGTTAACAAGCAGCTTTAATAACAATAATAATTGAATGTAGTGAAGGTTACAGCTAATCAAGAAAGCATCTTGGAAATTAGGAATCAAATCAAAGATAAAGCAGAAAGAAGAAAGCAGAAAGCAGAAAACCAATCATCAGAAATAAAAAAACGGAAAGAGGTGAAGATAATTCAAAGTTTTCAATTCAACGAAAAAGGAGAAAAAGAAGTTGAATTCTGACCACGCGCCAGAGTAGAGAGTCAAACTCCATAGTCCAAATCCTAAGGGTGTGTTTGGTTCACGGAATGTAAGATTACTAGTGGGAATAAAAGATTACCAGGGAATAGGATTCCTGGGAATGTTACATTACTGTGTTTGGTTGGTTTGGCAGGAACGTAAGATTACAGTGTTTGGTTGAAAGAATAAAAGATTAATAGAATGTATATTTTACCAAATTGTCCTTGTTCTATAGTTTTTAACGAGTGAAATTCTAAATATTTAAATAAAAATTATTTATATAAAAATTCTATTTGTTGATAATATATTACTTGAGTATTTAAATATATCATGTATTATTTTAATTTTAATTAATATTAATTTTTACATAATTTATGTAAAAATATATTAAAATTTTACATAAACATTTAACTAAAATTTTACATTGTGAAAATTCTTCATAAATATTCATAATAATAAAAAGATGTAAATGATTTTTGTTATCTAAGAATTTTCGAGTCAAGTCGAGCTCCATTTCAGAATTTCCGAGTCGAGCTCAGCAATATTCGAGTTCAACTCAGTTCGTTTACACCCTTAATATTAGATGATAATATGGAATGGGTTTTGATGAATTCATTTAATTGATCCATTAATTAAGCTCAACTTTTTCATGTTCGATTTTGCACCAGAGACCTTAATTTCTATAGATTTTAACTTTGGACATCCCAAAAACTGAAATTGAGATATATAAATAATGTATTAGTTGATAATAGGGAATGATTTTTTATGGATTTGTTTAATCGATTCATTAAGTAAACAAACTCAACTTTCCCCTGTTCAGTTTTGCGCTAGAGACCTTATTTTCTATAGAAAAATTAACTTTGGTAACAATGGTTGATGATATGATGCTTCAACAATCATTGCAGGAAAGCAGTGCTCATGACATCCCAATGATTGAAATTGAGGTATGTTAGGATATGTTTTGCTTTAGGTGATATGAAATGCATGTGTTTGTTTTGCCTTTTTACTCGTAAACCAGTAATACCATTTGTAGAAGTTGGTAAGTCAAGTGTAATGTTCAAATACTAGCATGTTTTTTGTAGCTTAGAGATTACTTTCCAGTAAGATCTGTTGGTTTTAGACAAATAAATGTGGCATGTCAAGAACACTCGATCTAGTAATGTTGAGATAGGGATTGTAGGCACCATTTTAACAAAGTTAGATAGAGGTTCTAGAGATGATGCAACTTTGAGTGATAAAGAGGTGTTCGGGAAGCCAATCAAACTTGCAGGATATGGAGAGCACATGAAGGACCTTAAACTTTTCTATTTAGATCAAATGGTTGGACACCTCTCGGGATGGGAGATGTTTTCTCATTGGTTGAGAAGGCACAAGAAGTTATATGCCAAGAAGATGCTGAAAAATTGCAAAAGAAGATAATGAGTACAAAGTTTCACTTCAATTATTTCCTAAATCAGACTCATGCAATTACTCGGACTAATTGACCAATGGATTAAGTACAAGATATATTCTAAAATAAAAGTAAAAGAAGAATTCCATCTGCATCACAACTCATTCGATCAAATCCCATGCTATGTATTCCTTGAAATAAAACCATAATACATACTAGAATGGCTCTAGTTGCACCTACATGTTGAAAACATTTATTTACTGCCTATGTCCTGAATGAAAGTATTTCGGTTTATGGGAATAAGTTAACCAATCGCAAGTCTACATATTTGCTTCAGGAGAGGCAAGTTCCTTTCGAAGTAGCCTCACCTCCCTCTTCAAGAATGGAGGCAATGCAAAAGCAGCCCTATGCATCTGTCAATAGAGAATAAATATTTTATTTCTACCATAAAATGGTTAGATCACAAAAGAAATTACAGTAGAAGAGATCAGACTTTGCAGGCCAAGATGCTAAGCCATCGAGAAATAAAATAGACCATCACTCTAACTCGATGGGGTTCATTTCCTTCCACGAAACAAACTATAATAGCTTCAAGGAGTCAATGTTCATAACAAAAGTAAATACCAGGTACTCTGCAGAAGAGTGAAAGAGTGAAAACTGAACTTGATGGAATGAGTTCTCACCTCAGAGTTGTAAAATCTAAGTTCTCTCTTATGATGGTAAGCTCCATCTAGCTTTTCAATAGGGTTTATGGGATTCAGAAAATCAACCGGTAGTCCCTCTGTGGAGCATAACAGGAAACCAATCACACCACTGCATTGCAAAAGAAAAGGAAAACAGAAGTAAGAAGTTGGAAATGAGATAGGCTATGATTCGAAGACAGGTCTGCAATTGGTAAATGATACCATATAAAATTACCACTGTCAAAAGCATCATTAATATCTAAAAGAGAACCAAGGGGAAATAACAGCTTAATTAAATACCTAGGATAAGTTGGAACACTTGTCCATGTTACAGAGGACACCACCAGGCCTTAATGCTTAAGCTATAGTCTCAAAAAATGGTTTTCTACAAGCTCTTGAGCATGACCTAAATTGCAAACCGAAGGAGTAAAAGCTTGAATGATGTTGAGTCTTAAAAGAAAAAATACCATGTAAATGTTCTTTAAGAAACCATCAATGCTAAAAATAAAATTTTATCAGATCATACATTACAACGTACCTACAGGATCTAATGAATCAACAATGATCGCATCATACTTCGCTTTTGGAACATGACGAAGAAACTCAATAGCTGTTAAGATTATATGCAAGTAAAACATCAGTTTGGGAATTAAAGCATCATGCTTGACCACGATTGAAAGTCTCCACGATTGAAATACTAAATTTCGAGTACATGAAGTTAAAACAAAATGAGTTATGCAGGACTTGCCATTTTTAAAGTAGCAAGACTAACCAAATTGAAATGAAGTACAATACATGAAACTAGTTCTTTGGTATGTTCTTCCCAACAATCTTAGCCGGGGTTATACGTAGCAGATTTCCAGGCTTACTAGGGACAGCACCTTTGATCATCACGACTCGATGCTCATTGTCGATTTTCACAATCTTGAGCTTTCTGATCTTTCTTTTGCTTCCTCCCATTATACCAAGTATTTTCTTCCCCTTGTACACACGACCAGGTGTTGTTCCGGCACCAATAGACCCCAATGCTGTATGACTCTTTAGAACCATGAGAAATTTGACCTCTTTTAAAATTATAGCGCTTTATTCCACCTGTGTAAAAATTGGGGCAAAAATCATGTATGTTATTACATTCCACCAATAGGGAATTTGAATTGCCAAACCAATAAGACCCACATTATGGTAAAGGAAGCTAAAGCTTTCAAAGAAAAACCCTAGAATTCCATATCAAGATGATAAAACAATGTGAAATGAGCAAAGAACATACTTAGAAGAGAAAATACCAACCAAAAACACAGAGTTCGAATAATATGTGTATGATGCATATAACATCAATAAAAAAGAAAAAGAATACACCCATTTTTGAACTCTGCAATTTGACCAACATGAAATTGAAGTCTGTAACACCAGCATATATTCATGATGAAGCAGTGAACCACACAATTAATTCACTTCAACTTACATATAAGCATTATATGTTCATTCATCAACATCTTCAATAATGTTAAAATCAAGCAATCTACCATCAATTGATCACCTTCAAAATGCAATACATAAATAAAATCTAACCTTGAAATCCTTTCCCAATAGTGGTCCCAGAGACATCGACAAGATCACCTTCCTTGAAAATCTCCTCAACAGATAACTTCTGACCAGTCTCAAACTCCTCCACACTTTGCAACTTAAATTCCTGCAAATGCCTCATGGGAATAACACCAGCTTTCCCCAAATGGCCCAACTCAGGCTTCGTCAGCTTCTTGTCTCTAACTCTCCTGTACCCAACTTGAACAACATCATAGTCATCGGTAGCCGATGTCTTAACTTGGGTCACTATATTTCCTTCTCTGAAACCTTCGACAGTCACTGGAACAACTGTTCCATCGGTTTCAAAGTAACTCATCATTCCAAGCTTTGTGCCCATCACTCCAACGCCTGCTTCCGTACTCATTGAGACTATATACGAAGAAGACCTCTTCTGGGTAGTTTTGAAGGCAACCAAAAACTGGGTTTTTGTGGGTTTTGAGAGAAAAAAAAGATTTGAGTGGCTTGCAAAGGGATTTTAATTTTGGGAATTCCAATTTTGAGCCATAACCAAGTCGAAGAAGAAGAATATTTTAGCCCGAGCGAAGAAGAAGATTTTAGCCCGAGCAAAGAAGTAGGGAGAAGGATATTTTAGACAACGGGGATGGGAATAATGAAATACCTAAGGGAGATGGGGGATTGATATTCCCGGGAAAGCAGAGTAAAAAATCACTGTTGGTCTTAATATTTTCCTGGCACTTGGTAATGTAGCTGATCCAAACGTGGGGATATTTCTCCGGGAAAAAAATATTCCTCCCAGGAATGAATTATACCTTGAACCAAACGGGACCTAACACTAGCTGGGAAGGTGAGTAGGCTCTTTTGGAAATGAAATTCGCAATTATAATGAATGAATTACTTGTATGTTTAAAATTATGAGATGGGAAACGCCATTCTACTACTACTTCTTCAATTAAATAGTAGGCTTGGGATCACAGTTCATCCCGTTTCAGCAAAAACTAAAAAATTAATCTTTGGAATAAAATTTTTCAATCTACCTTTGACCCCTGTCGTTAACATTGTTTACTTCCTTTTTAATTTTAAGAGAAAATAACCTCAGTATTAAAAATGCATCATAATATACGATTTTAATCAAATTTTTTTGGATTTATCAAAATGACCAACTAAATCGCAATGCGATCGATAATTCGCAACGCGATCTCCGGTATCGTAAATCAGTTTCCAGATTCGCAACGCGATTCTGACTATCGCATTGCGATTTCCCAAATTCGCGTTGCGATTTTCCTAATTCGCAATGCGAATACGTAAATCGCAACGCAAATTTAGAAAATCGCAATGCGATTACGTAAATCGCAACGCGAATTTAGAAAATCGCAATGCGATTACGTAAATCGCAATGCGAATACGTAAATCGCAATGCGAATACGTAAATCGCAATGCGAATCTGACTATCGCAATGCGATTTACATAGCGTCATTCGTATCAAACGTGTATTTTTTTTCAAATTCCAAACACGAATATATTAATATATCGGAACACTGAACCGTCCACAGTATGTCCCATAATCGCAACTCATAATCTAAAACTCTAAATCACAACTCAATCTCATCTCCATCTCTTACTCTCTAAGGCGACATCCGTCCCCATCTCCGACGAAATCAGTCCCCATCGCCGACGATATCAGTCTCCATCTCCGGCGAAATCATTCACGGTCAGAAATGAAAAATCAACCAAATCAACCACAGAGGGTTAATTTTTTAAATTATTTTTATTTTGAAAATTTTGCATTACTATTAGGTTTTTCATATTGAAATTGATGATAAGTTTATTGGTGTTTTCAATAATAGATTAACCATTTCACTTAGATTGCTTATTATATTCATTCGATTGCTGCCAATACTGCTAAACTGTTTAGTCTTTAACCCTGTGAAGTTAGTATTTGTCTTTGTTTTGCCTTTTGGTTGAAGTAATGCAATCCATTCAAGTTTCTTTCAATTTTAGTATTTGAAACCGAGAATGACTATCGCAATGCGATTCTGTCGTTGCGATTTTCATTTCGCGTTGCGATAGTCATTTTCGTGTTGCGATTTTCATTTTCGTGTTGCGATTTAAAGTTTCAGAAACTATTCTTCTTCTGCAAATTGAAACTTGAATGAATTGCATTACTTCAATCAAAAAATAAATACTAAATTCACAGTGTTGCAAATTTAAGTTTGAAGAATAAACTATTACTCTTTATGTTTATTGTTCATATCTTCACAGTGTAGTTTTTTAGTATATCTAAATTGGTATGTTTATTGTTTTTGCAGAACTTTTATTCGACTCAATTGACCTTAAGAAATAAAGTAAGCCTGGCCAAAACAATTGCGTCGAAGCTTTCACCTACACAAAAAAAAAATATTTGAGGATACTTGCTTCGGGCCATGGCTGAAAGTACAACATCCGGGTGGAGATGCTATGTTGACCCATTTGTTTCTTCAAACCATGACTAGCGATCTACCAGAGACTATACAACGTCGTGATGAAGAGATATGATTTGATTTTCCACCGGCGTATACGTGTTTTGGAAAATCGCAATGCGATAGTCAGAATCGCGTTGCGAATATGGAAACTGATTTGCGATACCGGAGATCGCGTTGCGAATTATCGATCGCATTGCGATTTAGTTGGTCATTTTGGCAAATCCAGAAAAAGTTGATTAAAATCGTATATTATAAGATATTTTTTGTCACTGAAATTATTTTCTCTAATTTTAATCCGGATTAATATACATTTACACAAAATAAAATATTTTTAATCTTTTATAATAATAAAATTATTGATGTAATATTTTCTAAAAAAATTGAATAATCTTTTAACCTAATGAAAATAAAATATAATGTTAAATATAATTTTAAAAACAAAATTGGTTGAATAATAAAAATAAAAAGTAATAATTAAGATATTAAACATATAGTTTATCCTAATAATAATAAGAGTTAATTGCATCACATTTTCTCAAGTATAACCCTTTTTTAAATTCATCCCTAAACTTTTAAATATTTTAATTTCATACCTAAACTATGATTATTATTTTAAATTAGTCTTCAAACTTTTGAACATTTCAATTATATCCCCAAAATATAAAATTTATTCTAAATTAGTCCCCAAACTTTTTGAACATTTCAATTGTATCCCCAAAATATGAACTTCATTCTAAATTAGTCCCCAAACTTTTTGAACATTTCAATTTCATTCCCAAATTCATCCAAATTAGTATATGCTTATAGCTAGGGATAAAATTGAAACATTCAAAAGTTTAGAGACTAATTTAGAAAAAAGGAATAGTTTAAGGATGAAATTAAAATATTCAAAAGTTTAAGGATTAATATAAACAAAACTCATAGTTTAGAGATAAAATTAGAATATTCAGAACTTTAAAGATTAATTTAAAATAAATATTATAGTTTAAGGAAATATGATGGAATTAACTCTAATAATAATAATAATAATAATAATAATAATAATAATATCACTGTCGGTGGGAGAGGAGTTAACCCAAGCAGCGTTCGTAAACGTGTCAACTGACCAATCAGGAACAAAGCGGTAAATCCACGGAACACCCCTTTAAATACTGAACGTCTTCCTCAACCAAACAGAGAAAAACTGAAAACTGCAAAAAAATAAAAATGGCGAGAGCTTCGATAATGGTGATAAACCTGCTATGTTTGCTGGTGCTCCTGCCGGACAACCGAATCGCCCCGGTACGAGGTGGTACGCATTGAATCCGATTTCGAAATCAGGCACTACCGTGGCGCCACGTGGATGTCTGCCACCGTCAACGACATTTCCTTCCAAAAAACCAACTTATTTGGGTTCCACAGGAGCTCAACTGCACGGTCTCCTCTCCTCTAAATTTCACAGTTTTTATTCTCATTCAATTAATTTTGGGTTTTTCCCTTTAATTTCTGGATGGGATAGGTTATTCCAGTTTATACAAGGTGCGAATCTGAATTTTTCTCGAGTCGCCATGACATCGCCAGTGGTGACGAGCCTAATCCCAGGAGCTGGGCCGCTGCACTCATCGACCTATGTTATCCGATTTTACTTGCCGGCCAAGTTCCAGGACAATCCACCGACGCCACTCCCGGAGCTGAACTTGCGACCTTACACATGGGATCCTCACTATGTTGCTGTGAGGAAGTTTTCAGGATTTGCTACGGATGATACAGTGGTTAAAGAGGCTGAGAATCTGGGTACTAGTTTGAGCTTGTCACCATGGGCCAACTCTACTACTACTACAGATTACACTTTCTCTATTGCTCAGTATGATCCACCCTTCCATCTTTTTAGCAGACTCAATGAAGTGTGGGTGGATGTTGATGCTTCCATTTTTGCTGGAAAAGCAACCATTTGAAAGATTATCAACAAGGTTGGATTACTTCCCTTGGCTTCTTGTGTGTGAAACTTCTATATTTGAATACTTGATCATATTGTAATCTGGTTTATGTAATTATATATGCTAAAGCTCTGTATATCATTAATGTAATCTAAACACTATTGTATGTTTAAAGAAGTTATCCTCTTTGTCACCCTCATCAATCACCCCCTTCTTTTGTAAAATATTTATTCATAAAATATTCTCAATATAAGAATTTGTTTCCAATATTAATTCATATGTATTTCATCAGAATTTATTTCCTCTTTTTGAACAAATTTCTAACTCTTGTTCTTTTAAGGGTTTTGATCTTATACAGGACCTTCTTAAGATATAAAACATTTGCAATTTAATTTAGGGTAAACTGTATAAATGATCACTAAGTTTCAAAAATAATAAATTAATTATTAACTTTATTAATTTATAATAAACCAATCACTAACTATTAATAGCAGTTAATAGGATAACAGAATACTGATGTGGGGGAGTAACCGGCTGACCTAGCACTGCTTTTACCACGTGAGATTGCAATTTTGACCAAGTTTGACTATATTGTTCTAGATTCTACTTTTCTCGTCTCTCCACCGCCCTACCTTCACTACCGTCTCTGTTTCTCTTCCCATGTATTTCTTTCTCTCTCTCCAAACCAACCCTTTTGCTAAACTAAGTGAGCTCATGGCGGTTTAACCGAGCCAAGTACACGATTGTCAGATTTTTCTAAGCTTTTCCATGTATATTAAAGATCTTTAGAGCTATATCTTCGTATCCATGAGTCGGCCAATGGTATTCAATAAAAACGGGAAACCGGAGCAGTGTAGGGGGAAACTATTCATGCATTTGGAAAATCTTAAGACTTTGCCATAACTATGAGCAGGCCAATGGTACTTCTCTTTAGCCTTTCTTCTGCTTTTTTGTACAATGGTTACGTATTCTCTGCAATTGGATGTTGTATCCATTGGCAAGAACACGATCCTTCTTCGGAGTTGCATTTGAACGTGTGTTCTAGGAACTTTTATTTTACATTGCTGTCATATTGTCCTGCTATTATTCTTTGCGTAGTATTATTCCCAGATTATTCCAGGAAAAGAAAGGAGAAGGATGCAAAGTAAATACAAAGAAGACGAGAAGTGAGTGATATCTTGTGATATAATACAACTCATGCAATTGGACACTTGTGTATTGAAGGTACGTAAGTTGAAATTGCATGATTCTAGTGCATATTTTGCTTAAATCCTAATAGCCTTCACCGGAAAGCATCCAATAATTTATGTACTAGAAAACACTAATTTTCATTTATACAATAGACGTGGCATTGAAAAAGCTGAGTAAGAAAGACAACATGTATATATAGGGAGGAAACTACAGTTCTTTTGATTAATTTGGTCCGATGTGTTGGGGCCTTGTCCGGCTTGGGCTAGTATGGTTGGGTGTGGACTAGTCTCTCCTAGGGTGGAATCCTTCTTGTGGCAGGTTGTGCACCAGAAGTTGGCACTGAAGTGTGAATTGTTGAAGCGGAAGGTTCCTGGTATCATTGACACTAGTTGTCCTTTATGTGGGCTGTTTCCAGAGTCGGTTTCTCACTTGTTCTTCACTTGTTGTGTTCTTCACTTGTTGTGTGTCATGGGGTTTATGGTGCAGGTTCCTGCGTTTGTGGAATGTCCCATCTCCCCTTCCTTTTGATCCCCCGACTTTTTTTCAGGCTTGGTGGGGGCTGGTTCCGAAGTCTGAAATATGGAAGTTTATTCCGGGAGCCGTGATGTGGTCTATATGGAAGTATAGGAATCGTATAGTTTTTGAAGGGGGTCTCTTGATTAGTTTAATCTTTTCTTCCTAGCGCGGTATAGATTGGTGGCTTGGTTCTCTGCTAAACATCCTCATTTTTCTTCTTCCTTTGATGTTTTGGTAGGCGACCCATCTTTTGCAGACCACTGCGTGAGCCAGAAGAGACTTGTTTTTCCTCGTTCTATTTGGGTTCCGCCACCTGTGGGATTTTTTAAAATGAATGTTGATGGTGCAGTTAGTTGCGATTGGCAAAAAGGGAGAATTGGCAGGGTTCTTTAAAATTCAAGGGGACTAGAGTTGGGTTCCTTCTCGGAGGCTGTTGGACAGCGTCCTCCTGCATTAGCTGAATTGTTGGCAGTTAAAAGGGGGTTATTGTTTTTTTATAGATTCCAACTGGTGCAATAAAGGGCGGTTGATATTAGAATGTGATTGTCTCTCTGCTGTGAATTGGTAAAAAAACCAGAAATGTTGTCCTATTTCGATGGGCCTTGTTTTGCAAGAGATTGTCTCTCTACTTAGGGATAGGGATGTAATTGTTAGGCATATTAGCAGAGGGTTTAATTGGGTGGCGGATAAACTTGCTAAAGATGGAATTGGTTGATTGGGGGTTGTGTGTAGGAACGGGAGTTTGCTCTTGTGGGGTTTCTTTTGTATGCATGTTAGTGGGAGTCGTATGGTGTATGATGTTGACCTTAATGTAGTATGGTTATGATTTTCAATAAAACTTTGAGACACTCTTTTCTCCTTCTAATGTCCTATTGAAATATTTTTATTTCATAGGGTATGAAGATTTTTTTAATGAGGTCTTCCATTTTTATAAAAAAAATTAATTAAAAGATTAGAGAGAGAGCATATGACGAAAAAAGGTTTTAATAGAAGGGGAAAGAAAGGACGACAAAAGAACTCACATGGGTTTAGAGATGGAGTGGTGATGAAAAAGGGTTTTCTTTCTATTGAGGTATTATAAGTTTTTTTTAAAATTTTCTTCTTTTAATAACGTCGAGTCTTTTGGAATAGATTTAAAGTTGGAATAGATAAATTCTTTTAACCTAATAATTTAGGTTGGATTTTTGAAGTGAATTTATTTGGTTCAAAAAGTTCAATAATTTTATTTTATTTTTTAAAATTTCTACTTCAGTTGTATTCGTATATTCGTTTATAGAATTTCAACTAATTAAACACCAATCACGACTTTACACAAGAATGCATTTATAGAATCTAAATCTATTTTAACAAAATGTCAGATTCTTTTGCAACCTATATAGTAGTTTCTTCAAAGAAACTCCCAAGCTAACAAATGAATGAACGAGTTTTGGTTGTACAATCAGACTAACTACAACAATTACTCAAGTGCTATGTCAATGTGAGCATGTTTGATATCAATTCGATCGGCGTCTAGCATGAACGTAGTAAGATGGCAACAATACCCCGACATTGGAAATCTTCCTGCCGAGCATAGGCAGCTTGATTTGGCTGCAATACACTACAAGGAAAAGGGTTAGCAATATAACTAAAAGGAAAACAGTGGATGAGATCTTCAAGTTTTTTATAGTTGAAATGCTTGCAAGAGCTTCATTAGCATTTAGCTGATGAACTATTGCAGCTCCTAACGTCCACGAAATGTCGCCTGGGCCGAAAACTATCTCTGCATTGCCGAGGCATAAAGCATCTTCAATAAGCGATGCTAAATATGACACCAGGAAACAATAGTATCCAGCGTACTTTTGTCTTTGGATATCAATGTTCCACTCGGTCGATGATGATGAACATAACTGCTCACCCTTGTCCCAAATCTCTGTCACACTGGCTCTTGTACTCAAGTTTAACATGTCGTAAACAACAAAAAACCCAGATAAAGCATGAAAACGTCCACTGTGATGGGCAACAGGTGTCAAATTTAGTATGTTACCTGTGGAAAAATTAATGATTGTAATAAGCATATAAATCCCGACCAAAGAGTAGGCCAAATATCTAAGAGAAAGGGAAATGTTTATCCAGATCTATTATGTGCAAACAGAACCAAGGTAAACATCTAATAAGCCAGTGAGATTAACCAATAAGCAATGCTTGCACTTACTACATTAGCAACTGTGAATTGTGGCCATGATTATGATCATATTTAAAATAAACTGTTTTTGGAACAGAGCAATAGACATGTTATGTCTGCTGCTGCCAAATATCAAGATTCAGAAGTGTGAGAATGCATATTTTCCATCTGCATCCATAAGAAATCAATAAACTTCTCTTCCTCACACGACGAAACGGGCCAATGATAATTGCACAAAAAGATTCACGAGTGTTCTTCCAAAAGCTCCTAAGCATTGTCTAACTAATAATCACCAACTATTTCCAAATAACAAGTTTATTTCATAAGATGAACACGAATTGGAAGTTTATTTCATGGTTAAATCAAATCAGCATATTATCCTTCAAAGAAAAAACAAACACATAATCCGTAGACATTTTATATGGGACTGGGAAACAGTAGCCATTAAGTTGGATCTATTAAACAAAACCAAGCCAAACTGCCTAACCTTTTGTATGTTAACAGTTATCCCTAAATTAAGAGTTGTTTAGTTATATGAATACAGTGGAAGCAACAGATCAATGATGATGAAGGCCTAAGGTTTTAGAAAAAGAAGCAGAGTATGTTTCTAACTTACCACCATAAGAAGATAAATTTGCTTCACAGTTTCTATCAACTTTGTGCTCTGACCAATCTGAATCGCTATAGTTCATTGCAGCCGCCTTCACAAGCTCCTTGCATTGCTCCCAATTTAGGTCTCCAACCAAATGTATCGAAGAAAATCGATTTTTATAAATTTGAACTTCAGAATTTTCCAAATCATCAGTTATGTTTAGCATGGTGCAACCAGAACAAGTGTAATTTTGCACAAAATTAGAACTAAGACAAGGGTGCCTGAGTTCTAGTTTGTTAGAGGCATATCTCCTATCCGCTTGATTTCGACCGAGCATGACCACTGTCTGATCAAATGCCTCATTCAAGCCAAATGCTGGTAACGAGTATGCTAAAATCTTATGATTAGTTGAACCAATATCTGATGTCATGACATTTCCGTTGTCATTCTCGTCAGCCACTTCCACCACAACCTGCAATGATGAACCTCCTAGATCAAGAAGTCCAAAGGTAGATCCTTTTGAGGAACTTCCAAGGCTACCCATTTTATAGTTCAGAGCAACCCAACCATAGTAGGCCTCTTCTTTACCTGTCAGAACCCTGATCCAGTTCTTAGTATATACAAAAGAATGTTCCCTTAGAACAATCTCTACATCATCCAGGACCTGCTTAGCATCCCTGGAAACCAACCTTCTCAACCCAGCAGTAGCTAAAACAATAATGGAAGTATCTACATGTCTTTCACAAGGTACCCTCAGTTCCGTCCATGCAATCAACGGTTCTAAAGAGGCCCTAACTCCTGAAGCATTACCAACAAATTTGTCTAAACCAGGCTCAGTTTGCATGCAATGATAGTGGCAAGATTCACTCTCGGTCGAATCATCTGGATAATAATGCAACAAAGAAGGCAGGCCCTGACTAATTAAACCCCTTTTTCCCCACTCAAATACATTCACTCGTGTTCCGGTGCTTCCACAATCCACGACAACAGTATAGTACGAACTCTCGAATACATTTCGAGCCTTCACGAAATTAAATGCAAGATAAACACCAATAGACGATAACAGAATGAGAAATCCAACAGAAAAAACATTCAAGACTCCTTTCCATGGATTGTATTCCTCAGCTGGGAACTTAACTTTGGAAGGTGATTTGGGTTCCATTTCCAGATTCTAGGTTCTATTCTAACAACCTTTTCAATCGCTCCTTTGAAATTCACCAATCATAATATTAACGCAAATAAGCATCCACAATTTGCAAAACAAATGGAACCAAACAACCGCAGCTTGCTCACCCAGTTCATAATCATTGTTCACTATCAAATCCCACAACTTTTTAATTTCGTTTTTGATTTAAAACAATTTCACTTCACTCGAAAAAGACCAACCACAACTTCTATACTTGTTTCAGTAGAAATCGTCTGTCAGACAACGAATTTTAAGATGATTAGAGCTATGGGTTCTTATATAAAGAATCAGAGTGAAGACAGAGAATACTTGAGAAAATAAAATCTGAAAACCAAATACACGTACCTTAATTATTGCCTGAGAATCCCACCCATTACTCCATTTCTAATTGTAGCTGTCTCTGTGAGAAGAGGGAGCAGAAGATCGAGAGACCAGCTAACAGAACGAATTGATTCATCCATGGATGATTATTAAAAAGGGTAAAGTATATGGTCATTTCTTATTTGGGTAAACTACAATCCACTCACCCAATTATTGGTAAAATTATAAAACGATCATTAAATTTTAAAACATTATAATCAAGTCACTTAATTTAATTTTGTTACAATAAGTCACACTTTTCGGTAAACATAAAACGGACATCTATAAAAAATATATTACTCGTACCGCATAGAGCATGCACATTAACGTTGATGATCCTAAGGTATGTCAAGAGTATTATGACTCACATTTTCGAATTATAAAGTATCATATACCTTCAAATGATCATTTAATTCAGTATTTTAAATTAATATCGGATAAATCATAACTTCAAATAATAGTAACATGACCTATCAATAATTCACAAAATAATTTCGAACAATCATAACGTAAGTCATAACTTCACTTAATGAAATTAGAATATGTACACATACATCAAATAGTCGACTGATAGTTTGAACACTTAATCATATATATATATATATATATATATATATATATATATATACTAATAAATATTATAAATTAAGACTAAAATCATATTTTTATTTTTTTTCATTTTGATCCATATAATTTTAATTTTTTATAATTATAATTCAAACATCATCATAACTTAAATATTTTCCTTAAACTCCCCGTTTCATTTTGTTATATTGTCAATTTTTTTATAAAAAAATCATTTTAGTTCTTATACTTATAATTTCTTTTAAATCTGGTCTTAAATAAACCCAAAATCGTCGATAATTGCTGACAATTTTACCAAAGTAAATTTCAACTACTTGGAATTTTAATAGTTACTATAACATTTATTTTATTTCTCTAAATATTTTTTTCCTTGTCACTATTTCTCTATTTTTTTCAATCACAATATTTCAACAATTTAACCTATTTTATCCATCATAATTATTCAAACATAAATGGCCATTTTTATAATTTACGTGTTTTCCAACCCATAAAACAACTTTAGAGTGAGAATCCTTTAATGTTTTTTTTTATTTTGTGTAAAGTACATAGGGTACTATTTTTTTTTTGAGTCATCAAATTATTAAAAGTTAGAAAGTGATTCCCCAATTATAGGACGTTGCTTTGTTGAGTCTCTAGACTATTAAAAGTTACAAAATAGTCACCTGACTATTCATATGTTTCAAACTCATCATTTTTCGTTCAACCGTATGAGCTAAACGTTAACCATTTGATTGAGATATGATAAGATATAATCCCAAAAATGTTTGAGTTGTATTTTGTGGATCGACTCTTCGTTTACATTATGTCATTGAGTTAGTGCTTGAAATACTATGTCATCGAGTCAATGTTTGAAAGCAACGACGATTCTAGTAAACGTCATTAAAATATGATTTTATCATATTTCAATTAGTAGGTTAACGTTTAGCTCAGACGATTGTCAATTATTAAACAAAAAATAACAAGTTTGAAACATATGAATAGTCGGGAGACTCAACAAAACAACATTATATAATCAGGGACTATTTTATAACTTTAATAGTCGAGAGACTTAACAAAGCAACAGTCTATAGTAGAGGGACCATTTGTATACTGAAGACACTAGTTTTTATTTCATTTGTTTTATTTATTATTATTATTTTGTTTTATTATTATATTATATTATTATTAAATAATTAATTAATTTTAATACATTACAGGCCCAAAACCCGGAGCCCAATTACAAATCAACTCGTCCCAGTTTACATGCCCAGGCCTAATCAGATACAAGCCCAACCTAGATCTAGCTAAACCCTAAACCAAATTTAGGGTTTGTATCATCTCAGTCAGCCGCCAGCTCTTTTCAACCGTTGGATCTGGCCTTGATCCAACGGCCCAGATGACTCCAGCAAAGAAAACCTTAGGGTATCATAACCCTAGGGCCATGTTCAGCCGCCGCCTCTGCCATGTGCCTCATCCAGCCTCCACGTTGACGATTCAGCTTCCAGCCGCCTCGCCAGAAACCTCCACGCCGCTTCGTCGTTGCCACGACACCAAACGAGGATTCCAGAAGCCAGCTGCCCCCCACACGTTGATGCCCCAGGGTGAGTCACCACATAGTTCGCTGACTCACCGAAATTCACTCTTGGGACCGGTCCGAGACAAGATCCGACGAGGTTATAAAAAGCCATCACCTGCAAGATAAAAAAAGGGCAACCAACAGAGAGCAACCAAAAAAAATAAAGACAGAGAGCAGACAACAACCACGACAACAACCCAAAGAGAAAAACAGAAAATAAAAGAAAGAGAGAGAAACTTACCAAGGAGATTATTGTCATCGGAGCCTCCCTACGCCATTAAAAAACCAAAATACTGAAGGTAACAAGCTTAGATCTAGGTTGGGTTAAGGATTTTTAGGCTAAACGGTCCTCGGTTTTGGCTTTAGGGTATTTAGGGCTTCGTTTTAGTATAGTTTAGAATTTTTCGGCCTCCGTTAACGGTGGCTTTAGGGTATTTAGGGCACGGTTGTCGGCCGGAACTCTAATCCCTCCGATGAGGGATTTGAAGAGAGAGGCGAGAGAGAATGTTAAATTCTCTCAGTTAGAGATAGAAGAGAGAAAGGAAAAATGAGAGGATGGCCCTACGGGCCGGCCATATTTGGGTTTATATACCCTCTCCCAAACGATGCCGTTTAGGGGAGGGTATCTGTGTAATTTCCCTTTTAGGGAAAATCATTTCCGTAGCCACTCAGAATTTATAAATTATAAATTGTCTCTATTAATTATAAATTAAAAATTCATATATTTGATTTATAATTCTTTATTTTCAAAATTTTTATATATACTTATTATTTTCATAGTATTTATATATATTATTTTATTAATATTTCATTTTATTTGCAAGTATTTTATTTCATTATTTATTTTTCTGTCAGAGGTTTGAACATTTTTCCTCACACACAACACTTGTATTGCATAACATAAAGCTCTATAATTGAGTTTGTCCATTTTAAGTGGGAGTGAAAGCGACGTCTTCGTGAGAATTTATTCTCCGTGTTAGACCTAGCAAGTAACTTTCGGGGTTCAGATGCTCTATGTCTTCGTGAGAATTTATTCTCCGTGTCAGACATAAAGAAATGTGTCCCCTCGAATTGAACTCGGTCTGCTTAAGTCTGTAATGGACTAGGATTGAGGATTGACAGCCCAAGGGGGCATCAACAAGGACAGTTCGAGTACCTTTACTCCTATAACTAAAAACCTGCATATAATAAACCCTAGAAATTCTCTTAATCTAAGACAATACTGAAACCATATCTATAGGTGTACACAAAGGATAAATAAGCTCTAGCTTTTAATTTATTTAATTTATTATTTTTCTCTCTGAATAAATGCATGCGAACTAGTAATCATGTTGTTAGGTTAATTTTTCCAAACAAAGCATGGAACTAGAAAGCGTGAGGTTAGGATATATTATATACCATGATAGGTAGAATATTTTCTTTTCATTAATTGGTACTTACCAATTTATTTATTTCCTTTCTCATTTTTGTTTTTCATACATTTTGTTTTGTTTTAACTTATTTATATTAATTTCTTCTGTTTTTTGCATGCATTACATGATCATGGCATAACCAAAAGGTGTTGACTTAAAAGACTGTTCATCAAATTGGAAAGAAATCGTAAATGAACAAAAAGTTTTATGATCAAACAAAATATGATGCGGTCAATGAAATACATCCTGAAGAAACTCCGAGGATCGAGAGAAGTTCTGTATATAGAGAACCGGTTATATTAATACCAAAAGTATTACACAAAGATCCTACCAGATTGATACCAAAACCAGTCTATGGTAAGAGCATCAGTCAGGGCATTCAGAGTAGTGGAGGTTTTTATGAAGCTCAAGCATGTTATTTGAAGGACTTGAACGACCAAAGCAAGAAATTGAGCACAGAAATGAAAACCATGCATAAAGATTTTCTGAAGATCAGTCAAGCCTTTCAAAATGCTAGCCTAGAAAGTACCCCAGAAGAGTGGATCACAGGGGTCACCAAGCTGAAAAAGAACTACAACATATATGAAGATCTTGTTCAAGAACTTCTTGGACAGAAAGGATCTCTTACAAGGGAAAATGTGCAACTCTGAGAAGTGACACAGAAGATGAAAGAGAATCTCATGGAAGAAGTTGTAGTCCAGACAAGTCATATGGTTCTTAAATGATAGATTTAGCTGACTTTACAAGGAGATGAAGCAGACTGAAGACTCAAATTTTGAGCATGAATGGAAACTAACCGGGCTTTGGAGAAGTCAGAAGTGAAAGATATCCCTATATGTAAAGTTTTGTTTGATGTACCGAAACTTTTATGTTCAATGAAATCTGTTCTAAGATGATCACTCTTGAGTAACACCTTTTCATACATACATTTGCATTTTGCATCCTTGCATTTTTCATTTTGTATTTATACTTTTATGTTTCATTTTGTATTGCACAATTTACATTTTTATGGTTACATTCACATTTTTATATTTGCATTTTTACGTTTGTATTCATATTTTCATTTTTTGCGTTTGCATCTTTACATATTTACATTTTGTTTAAAAATATTTTGCATACATTTAAACATGTGGAATAATTCGGGGAAGATTCCATGACAGAATTTTTGAAATCAAAGTGGAGCTAACTTGGTCTTCCTAAAGAGAGATAATAGCTATGAATGAGATTTTAGCAAGGGTTGGTAGAATTGAGAAATTGCAAGAGCAACTTATCAAGACTCAACAAGAGATGACTGATCATGCAAAAAAGTTTCAGGATGATTCAAAAGAGCAAATGACCAAGCTGATGAACCTGATGAATGTTGTGATACATGGAGAGAAACCCTTAGAGGATTCTGTTGTGAAAGATTTGAATGGAATTATGAATGATATAGCTGACACAATGGAAACAAATGACCAGGACTTTGTCAGGGAATGTGGAAATCCAATAAATCTACAAAAATCGGGTATGACCCCAGAAAATGCAACAGAGATCAAGCTGAAGCGAAGTAAAGAAGAG